ATTTATAAAATACAAAATCTTATTAATTATTATCTATAAAATAGGAGCGAAACATCTCATCCACTAAAATATCGTTGTACAATGTGTTCCTTGTAAATATACTCGTAAAACTATGTATTGAACATCCTTGAAACTTATATAGCAAATACATTAAGCAATATTCGCCACAAACTGAAGTCCACTCATTCTGAATCCTATCAACATTCCAGTTCCATCTTTTACAATTCCTTTTTAAAAACTCTAGATGATATCGTACAGGTGATCGTCCATATGAATCAAAATATTGACCGACGTCATTCGTATCGATATATAAAGCTACCCAATGTGACCCTGGTTTATCATCTGTATCCAAATTACATATTATATACGTTGGTACGTGGGTATGCATAGGCAGTCTATTAGCTGCATAAACATTATTTTCTAGACTGGGGTGAATCTTTTTCAGATGTTGTTGTACATCTAGTGTATCCATGATATTACTGCTATTAGTAGATTATTACAGTACCTAGCTACTCAATGAATAACATAGGAATGGTCAATTATAGTGATTTCTACATATTAAATTGCATTTTTGTGATATACAAATCGTACTTGAGTCATTGATCACCAAACAAAACACAATACGAAGAAATGTTGAGATAGGCAACGGAAATGTGAGATAAACTGATATGTTTCTAAATATTAAATTGCATTTTTGTGTTATACAAATCGTACTTGAGTCATTGATCACCAAACAAAACACAATACGAAGAAATGTTGAGATAGGCAACGGAAATGTGAGATAAACTGGTTGACGCATAAAGTAATTATCAACTCATTACGGAAATACTTTAGGTTAGAATTTTTACGTACTGGTGGTATATAAGACCAACAAATGCAGTCATCGAGTTAGTGTACGGTCGTTTGGCTACAGTGGATCTATCAATAGTACATTTGTGTTACTTCAATACACCAAAGGCTATGGATGTAAGTGTTTATTCTATTGACTAAATTACTTTTTTTCTGTTATTTTCATGTGTGTGTATTATTTTATTTAAATATTGTGTATGTATATAATTAAGCCGTGGTAACTCAGATGGTTAGCGCTAGCTGTAAATTTCACAGTACGCGACCCGGGTTCGATCCCCGCCAGCACCAATTAAATTGATAATAGCAATTTTAAGTGCTTATTACCACGTGCTTGGTGGTGAAGGAAAACATCGTGAGGAAACCTGCATGTCTGAGAAAATTTCGAAAGCATGTGAAGTTCGCCAACACACATTGAGGGAGCGCGGCGGACATTTCCTTGCTCTAAAACCCTCTCAGAAATGAGAGGAGGCCTATGTTCAACAGTGGACTTTAATAGGCTGTAACTTTAACTTTTTTAACTTTTATGATTAAGTGTTAACAAATTGATATTAACATGATAACTGTGTTGTTGCAGAAATCATTGAGCTTCGATGAAGATACCTATGAACAGTATTACTACTCGCCACTCTCCCCTCAAGAAGAGAGTGATAACCTCGTCATTAATAATAACACATGCGATGGTGGAAAAAGAAAATCGCAATCGATTGATCATTTTTTTGAAGCTGAATCAAAAATAAAAAAGAGGAAGCTGTTATCATCAACCGTAGCACGAGCCGCTAGAGATGGTGTATCATACATTTCTACTAATTCTGACGACGGAGACCAAGCGACGCATCTCATCAAAATTGAAATGTACGATATGAAGAAGCTATCCAAGATTCCAACTACTGATCATTGGAAACATGCTTCCACGAGAATTAAATATTACGTAAAGACTAATAAGGATAGCATCTACGACAATACAAACGCCCTCGTATACAATATAACAAAGACAATAGCAGAAAGTGAAAAAGTTAAAAAATACTTTTTTAACAATGACAGTCATTAGCTGATCATTAGTGAATGTGATTCTGTTTACTTCAATTACAGGAAGACAAGAGCGGAAGGAAGAGATGAGTGTGGCATACGTGTACAAAACACATCATTGAATAACAAAACTACAACACTGAGTGGAGAAGAAAACGAGAAGAGTATGCAGTACTCAAGAGCTGAATATCCATTCTTCAGTTCAAAATCTAGCCGTTTGCTTAGTTTCGAAAACTGGCCTCTAGTTATGCGACAGAAACCTGAAGATCTTGCCGAATCTGGTTTCTTTTATACTGGCCATGCAGACGGGACCAAGTGTTTCCATTGTGGTGGTGGTTTAAAAGATTGGGAAGATGATGATGATCCTTGGCAGCAGCATGTTCAGTGGTTTAGTCAGTGTGCTTATGTAAAATTTCAACTCGAACAGTGTTTTGTATTAGATTAAATAGAAGATTTATAAAGAAATAAAAAAAATATATTGCATACAATTTGTTTTATTTAATTTTATAACGTTTCACATAGTTACATACACACAAAATGCATTACACATAACACATAAAATCTAACACACAACACATATTATAACCTTAACTACTATAGTCTACAGTAACATTTCTGTTTTTATCTATCTCAATAATATTATCAAACTCAGCATAAACTATACAGTTAATTGTTTGTATTAATGAGGATTCAAATCGTACTTCTATTCTTACACTACCATGCTTTATGAGATTCCAATGAGTTGATGAGTTAGCTGATAAATCAGGAGTTAAGTCAAATGCTAATAGACAGTAACCTTTGCCATACTGTTCACAAGAGATTCCATTTCCTTCATTAAGAAAGTGAATACCAGTTCCCGAGAATAGAGTATGATATGCTGATGTAAATATGCTATTATTAAAAGATGGTTGCAAAGCTTTTGAAGGTATTTGTTGACCATCAATATATAAGCTGAAAGAATTAATACCATAGTTTTCAAAGTTAAATGGATTTTTAGTAAGGGAACCATTAAATGCAGAATTGTTCACAAATCCAATTATACATCTTTTCGGTACCTGTCCTAAAAATATATTATCAAGAGTTTTTCCTTGAACACCCGAAGGAATTGTTAAAACTTTTACTTCAGCTCGAGTAATAGGATATTTAGCAGTGGTAGAAGCTAAAACTTTTTGATGTGCGAGTAATACACTTGGATTAATTCGTGCTCATCGAACATTAAGAGTTGCGTCCGTAATGCAAACTTTAAACTTTACATCGTTCGACCCAACAATTAAATTAAAACTCTCTCTTGATCGAACCAATTTAACACTCATTTCAACACCATTAATTAAAAATTTATCTTGGTTAAAAATGTCACCGTGAAGATGACCAATCATTTCTATTTCCTTACTTTCACTAATCAATTCCTGTCTTTTAACAAATCCTATGTTTTTACCATCTGTAGAATCCATTTTTCCTGCTGTATCCTCATACCAAAGACTACAAGTAAGATGAGATTGTTTAGCAGCAGGGGCATAGTTTAAAAGGGTTTCCATGTATGCTCGATATGCATAGGTATTATTAGGTGGTGATACAAGTTTTTGGTTTAAATAAACATCAAGTTGACTAAAAAGTGAATGCAGCCAATTATTTACAGGTGCTACTATTGTAGTAGATACCAAGTTAGTTGAATCTTGATTTAATACTTTTGCCTTTATGTGGAGTAATGTATGAGACAAATCTATGTAGTCATCGCCGGTCCCAGGAACTTGAAACTCGATAGGTCCATCATCACCAAGAGATGAAATTGGTTTATAATGAATCCACAATCCATTTTCAATGCTAGTTTGTGTAGACGGTAGTGCAAACAAATCCAATTCTGACTTAACGCACTCGCAAGAATGATTATGAAGGAAAGACATATTTAGTTTGAAAATATATCTTTGATATTTTTTGGTTTTAGACTAAGTTTTTTCGCAGCTTTCACTTTAGCAGTTAATGGTGGAATGAACGATGTCAATCGTTTTCTTTTAGTTTTATACCCAGATCCAGTCATGTTAAATTGATCAATTTTCTCATCAGCCTTTCGTTTTAAATTCGTACTAACTTGCTTTAGACGATCTTTTATTGAGGCTTCCATAGGACGGGCTTGAACCATATCCGATAAAAGTCCTACTCCAGCGCTTAATGCCTCCTTACCAATCACTCGAGCACCACTTGAAAGTAAAGGTAAAACTGATCTGAATAACCCCCCTAAGAAGCTCCCAATACCATGACCGCGTTGATATGGTGAACCCTTATAAATTACTCCAACTCCTGATCCAGCTTGATGTGTATAATAATTTTCATATGGACATTTATGATGATCACGAAGAGAATTCATTATTATAATTTTCGGAAATGTAGTTTAATACACACGGTTCCAAACTGGAATGGTATTTTTTGTCCTGTACTCGATCTTATAACTATTTCCAACGTATCGAACTCTCTTCGCATAACAGGTAAGTAGTGAGGTTGAGAGAAAACGTGCATTTTATTTGCACCATAAATGTATTTTGTAGGATCTAATGAAATGACTCTTAATAAAGGAGTCATAACATCACCCACAATCTGAGGATCGATAATATCGCAATATAGAAATAGTTGAGATGGTAACCCTAAGTGTAAATTAGCAGGACACTTTCCAAAATTTCTCTCTAGGAGATTTTTATTTGGTTCATAACCTAGCTGTAAACTTAATTTGGGTGATAATGTTACGGATGTTATATTTTTATCCAATACCGAAATAGACACAAATTTTGTTATTTCATCATAGCGAAATTTCAAGTTCGCTCCGATACCATTTAATACTCTTAAAATATGCTCAACGTTATCATAGTTGGTAGCTGGAATATGTTTTTTGTAGTACACTGTGGATGGCTTATCTTCATTAGGCATTAACATAGATTTTGTAATGTATATAACATTTTCATGGTCTTGAACAGTAAACATGGTACATGGATATTGAAACTCGACAACTCCAACCGACCATTCACCTTCTAATTTTATAGCTTTTGGCAATTTCGTTGAAAAATTTGTGGTCTTGTTATCAGGAAAGTATTCCATTGAACTATTGCTGAGCAAAGTTAAATAGAAACTTTCTTTATTCATATTTCTTTTAAACTAGAAGCTAAAATCCAACTGTTAAATTTATCTGGATAACCTTTCCACTTCACTAATACTTCTTTTCTGTTACCTGAATAACGAGTGTCAATTATTTTATCTATTTTATGTTGTGAGGTGGGGTTGTAAGTGATTTTCTGTAATTCTCTTTCATAAAAAGTACCAATTATTGGTTCATTTTGTAAATCTGTTATTGTATAAACAACCCATGGAGATCTATCAATTATTGAAGATATAATAAATATTTCATCACTCCAATTTGATTCATATCCTTTTTGGAATACATGTTTATATTTAGTTATTCGAACATAATCACCCACATTGAAATTTGGTTTAGGATTTTCTAAAGAAAGTTTTTTTGACCGTCTGTCATAAAGATTAGTCCAAACTGTCATAATATTGTTGGAATTTACATCACATGGGCACATCTTAATACTAGAGTGAAAGCTGTGATTATAAGAGTATATTAAATCTTGTAAAACATCTATATATCTATAAGTATTATTATTAGTGAAATAACGCCACATTTTCATTTTTAGTGTTCTTTGAAATCGTTCAACAATACTGGCCTTAATGTCAGGATTGTTAGTGGTATAGTAATTAATCTTTTTGGATTTAAAGTATTTTTGTACATCTTTTGAAACAAATTCGGTACCTTTATCGGATTGTATGTGAGTAGGTGTTAAATTACTTTCAGTAAATATACTTTCAAAACATTCTTTAGTTGTTTCTGAGTTTTTCTTTTTCATTGGTCTTGCAAAAGCATATTTACTAAATACATCAATAATACAAAGTATATACTTGAAACCATCATTATATTGAGAATAAGTTCGCATATCACTTAAATCAGCTTGCCACAGTTCATTAATATTTGATAGAATGTACCTATTACGCGGGAATTTTTTTCGAATGGGTTTATGTAATGTGTATGTTTCTTGTGATTTTAACCATTCCTTTACTTGCTTTTTATTCATTTTACCCTTCATGGCTTTTGATAATTTATCAATACTACCAAAACCAGCGGGATTAGATGGATCATAATAAATCCTGTTAATTTCTTCTAGTACGGAGTCCATTTTTCCCACTCAAGTCCTTTACGTATTTTAGTTGTAGACTTTTTATCTCTACTGCACGGTGTAGAAAACTCTTGAACTTCAATCTCAGAGGGTTTGTTCAGATCTTTTGCTTGAAGTTGGTTAATAAACTCACATCTCCTTGGATTTCCAATATAAGTAAGTGGTACTTTAATATCTTTTAATGCTTCAGCAAATCTAACCCACCCTACCGGATCACTTCTTTTTAGGGGTCTTAGTGAATCATTTATTAAATCAACAATATTACTTCCAGGAATTTTTTCACTATCAATTATGACTGTACCTTCGTTATCCCAATGTATTTTACTTTTACTTGTTTCAACTAAGTTTAATAATAACTGCCCTTTTTTATGATAAGTTTTTGGTATTAAACTGAGTATTTGAGCTGGTGTGTAAAGTGGATTTTCATCATTTTCTTTACTTTTAATGGATCGATTCTCCTCCAGCAAAGATTCAATATCAACTGAAGTTTTTAGATCTCTATCTTTATTTTTAAAACCAATTTTTGACTCATTTGAATCTTCATTAGATGTATCAGAATAAATTGGTAATTTGAGTGGTTGACGATCCTCTTCGGTAAAATGAAGGTATCTTTGTAGTGTTTGTAAATATAATATCCATTTCTTTCGGTCTTCCGTCTTACTATTCATAATATTTTGCATTTCAATATCTAATCGAGATAAATTACTATTAACCTTATTTTCTTGTTTTAATTTTTCAATCAATCCAGGTTCGATAAGTATCATTTTCTTTGCATTTTCCATGTTAACTGGCTAGTCCACTCACTAATCCACTCAATATATCACCTAATATTGTTGGTAAGAAAGCCCCTCCTTTTTGTATAATTATATATTTTCTTAGTTTATGTTTACACTTACGTACTAGTTTACGGAGTATGTTTTTATGTTTATTCAATTTTTGTTTATCCTGATCTTTAAGAGGTACTTTTCCTTGTAAAACGTTATGAATACACTCACAAATACAGTTAATTTCTTCTTCATCACACGTTTTAAGTAATGCTCTTTGATATTTTGGTTTAAGCGTATGCAAAGCGGTTAGCAAATGTTTATACGTTGTGAGTCTACGATGCATCATTTAGCAATGATTTCAATTGTTTGATTCTTGGTGTATTTAAACTCTTTTGTGGGGACGTAGACTGTACAGAAACCATTAAATGGAAAGACATTTGTCTTGATACGACAAAAATCATTGGTATTCTGTTTTAAATCTACCATTAAATATCCATGTGCCTCTAGAGTTGCATCCCTGTAGGCATTTTCAATGAATTTTGGGTTATCTGGTGATACTTGTCTTGCTAAATATCTTATTTGAGTTTTATCTCGAGGGTTTTTAAAATATATTATATAACTTGAGTTTAAAGATATGTCTCTTTGTCCTTTACCCTGATGAAATAAATTTTGTGTTAGATAAAATACAGTAAGATTCCTGTGATGACTACCTTTTGTAAATATATCCACAATTCTTCCATCGGACTCTCTCATTAGATCATCAATAATAACAAGATGTGGGTTTTCACCATCAAACATATTAAGATTTGGAATTCCTTGATGATAGTTAACATTTGGTAAATTATATAATGGTTGCATTTCATCAAAGCACCATGTGATCTGATTAAAATCACAATTACATATTTCTGTAACTGATTTTATGAAATTTGTTACAAAATTTGACTTCCCACACCCACTTGGTCCTGCCACAATAGCAGTGAACGGATGGATAAAGTGAAACATAACACACGTCTAAAGTTCAAAGGGGTGAAATAAAAAATGAAAGTGTTGGTGTAAACAATTAATATATATTCCAAAAATTATATAAAACAGAATTATCTGTATACTATTTCTAACACAATTAGTACATCATAATTTTACAATTAACTCAACCTCAAATAAATAGAAACAACAATTAGTACATCATAATTTTACAATTAACTCAACCTCAAATAAATAGAAACAACAATTAGTACATCATAATTTTACAATTAACTCAACCTCAAATAAATAGAAACAACAATTAACTTAAATTATTTACAATAAAACAATGTTTAAATATGTAATAAACTACGTCATATTATAGTATTATCATAATTTTACAATCAATATAAATTTTTCTTAAACGCAGACATAAAAGTAAAAACTATCAACACTTAACGCAGTTTATAATGACCCCAAGCTAATGTTTCAATATTATTATCTAAAATATGTCTCTTTGTGTCATTATATGATAAACCTATCTTATTTAATTTTTGTGTGAAAATTGTGTGTTTAATTGATTTAAATCTAAGCATACTATAATATTGCACTTTTTTATTAAATAGAGAAGACTTATAACTATTCATTGTCATCTTTTTAGTGATACATTTATTTACCCCTTTTGCCTTGGCTATAGTCTTATTCTCTAAGTTAAAAGCGTGCATTTTGGATCGTAAACCCACAAATTCTTTCATGATTTTACCATTATTTTCATCTTTAAAAAAACCTAATTTCTTTTTATTTAATTTTGGATATTCAAAAATATTATTTGTATCATAATCTGAGGTATCAAAGTATGATGAAAGGTCAGGTTTTATATCAGTGTAAAAATCATTTGTAAATATATGATATATTAAACTATCCGTATCTGTATACAATAATTTGATTTTACTAAACTTTTTAATCATATAGTTATAATGAAAATCATACATTAATGTTTTTGAAATATCTAAAATGCAAAACCCTAAATAAATTGGTTTGTTATATATTAACTTCGTTTTTCGCAACTGAACCGCAACTAGGTTTTCCGAAAATATTGAAAGGCTATGAAATTGTGGTTTAGCGATTAGATCTTGAGCACCTAAAGCTTTACCCTGGTTCTCCCAGTGCGTAACTAATTTTATGTTAACCCTTTTTTCAATATTCTCCATAGTCTTACCGAAGACTGAATTATTCATTAATTTATAAAAATCTTTTTCGAAATCTGATTTTGCTAAAGTTCTTAATTTTGTGTTTAGATCTATGTACATCTTCAACCAGGGAGACTGTTTAAATTTTAAAACTCTATGAATTTTAGTTAATTTAACCCCCATTTCTATGCACTGCTTTAAATTTCTGTAATGAATTACATATTTATCTTTATTATTTAAATTTGGGACTAGTTTATTCTCATTAATATTGCCTACACAAATGTTTTCTGGACATAAAGGAAAGTCCGAATGTAAATCATGAAGTTCATCTGGATATTCCAAATCAACTTCTAAAATAAAACCGAAGTCTGATGTCTTAGACACATTAAATTCTGTATTTGGATTTACCCATTCGAATCCACCAGTAGGAAGATATTGAGACATAGCCCAACCATATAAATTGTTGGCATCAAAATATGTGATATATGAATTTGGTTTCCCTGTATCATAATCCTCCATGTATTTGTTATTAGCTCTAGCATAACGATTACTACATTGAGATACACCACCTCTGATACCTGATCTAATAAATGCAATTTTCTCATAATCTGTTAAAAGTTCTAATTCTATTTTTGTATATTTTAACATTGCATCCCAACTTAAACCGGGTGCTGTGTAATAATGGACAGGGTCTAAATCATATGTATTAATACATAACTTTCTAAAGTTTTCAAATACATCGGATAAAAGTAAAACGTCTGTTTTTAAATATAGGTTTGAATAATCTAGCATATTACAACACCCAAAATGTTCCCAAACATCTTTAGCATGATTGTAATCATCATTTGAAATATGTGAATCTGTGAGTGAACTATAAAAAGATTTTTGTTCAGGGAGCGATGTTAGACTTAAACTATCATAATTAGTCATAAGTTCATATGGATAAACACCTTTCCGTTTTAAACGAAAGAAATCTTCATCATTAGGGTAATTTCTACGTAATTCTTGAAATTGATCATTACTGAGATTTTTGGCCAATTCTTCTAATTTACACGATAAAAACTTAAATGAATCTAAGAATCTCAATATAATTTCGTGGTTATTCACTTTTAATTTTTTGGAAAAGGATATATATTTTTCTTTATTTTGAGGGATAACTTCGACTTCACCATCACAAAAGTTTAACGCGTGAACAATAAAATGAGCATCATAGTGACTAAGGTTGTGTAAAAATATTGGTATATAACTAGGTGTTCTGATCTTCGAACAACATGATTCATGAGCAACACCTATAAAACTACCAGTGTACCAATCAAAATCATAAAAATGTTTTGCCAACTCAGTATCACAAATATGACAAATGGTTGCATTTGAAATTTGGTTTTTGTCTTCATTTGTTAGCGGAAGTGGTGGATATTTTTGAAGTCTATTTATTTCTTTTAGATTGTTAGATAAACTTTCCATAAACACTTGTGCACAGTTGGGTCCGCAATATGTTACATATTTTGATAATTTATCATCATATGAACATTTTATATAATATCCAAAACTATGTACTTCATGTTTCTGAATATTATGAGTGAAAGGTTTGGAAGGATCGTTAGAACATGATTCTATTGGTTTTAAAAATGCTTCAAAATCAGCATAAACTACGAATGGTATCTTTAACTTTTTTTCATAACTATCAAATTTAATTTTATCATTTGAAATAGGTTGACCAAACCAATTCTTTTTTTTAAAGTTTCACTGTTTGGTAATACTGTACAAATGTGAGCACAATCGTATTGTTCATGGTTATTTAACCTTTCCTGAGATGGAAAACGAAGTAGACATGCTTCACAAATATACATGATGTGACCGCCTTTTGAAATTTGTTTACTAACTAACCGCGATAAATTTTTTATATAGCAATAATGATTTTTTGTATCCTTGGAAAAAAATAATAAATTGATATGTCTATCTTTACGACACTTTGTTAAAAATAATGGACCTACTATAGAATTACATCGTTTTTCTTTATTATATTCTAACCCAAAAACATTAATACTAATATCATTTAATTTCTCTACTTTTGCTATGTCAGAAATTTTAACCGGAAAGGAAATACCATCAAATTTAAGTTTATTTGCATGTTTAACGTACGATGATACCCGATCGGTGTGTTTGTTTACAGGATATAACGCCGAGAGTAACGCCCATTTAAAACAAAAATAATCCTTGTTTTTTACATTTATAACAGCCTTTTTTAATTTTATGTCACGAGGAAGATCTATGTATGAAGTACCGCGTAGGGGGTTTAATTTATTAACATTCATGTCTATAGATTTTATGTTTTTTAGACTCCATCCACTATCTTTTTTTTTCGAAAGCACTAATTTTAGTAGTAATTGTATCATTTAAAGATGAAAGAAAAATATTTAAGTCATCTCCTTGACAAATAATATAGTTAAGCGTTTGAAAATCGAACGTATCATGAATATCTTTAGTTTGTTGAACAAAATCAGCATGCAATATGAAGTTTACCTTAAAAATTATGTGTTGATGAATACACTCTTGTAATAAAAATAAAATATCATCTTTAATAGAATTTAAAAATAGTTCAGGAGTTTCAAAATTTACCCATGTCGAACGATCTACTCTACTCTTGATTTTATAAGTTAAAATCCTATTTCCAAAAGCAGATTCAATAACACTAACGTTTGATAAAGAATTATGTGAATTTAAAAGATTATTTTTATGAACATTACTTTTAAAATGATTAGCTAAATACCGTTTCTTGATAAATATATGGCACGTTGGACATTCCACTTGATCATCGTTACTGATACTGTTCCCTGCAGAGGTATGCGCTTCTGCTTCCGTTGTTGGTTTTTTGATGATCTTGGATTCTTTGCTGCACGTTCGCTTCGTTCCTCTTCCAAGTTATAGTGGTTGACTGCTAAAATGTTTAAATTTATTAAAAACTGTATAAGACAATATGTAAATTATGATCGAAATGAATGTTTATTTTACATACTTAAACTGTGTTTCAACCATCGCACAGTGATGATACAACTCATCATCGTATGACGAATCGAACAGTTGACCCCTCTCCATTTCTTCACAAACTTTAGACAACTCCTGATTTAATTCGCTATTGAATAGTTCCGTATTCTCTTCCATGATTGTGGAGAAAAAAGCACTGGTGCACACTTCACTGAAGTTTTCCCTTCCTCTTTTTTATTTTTGATTCAGCTTCAAAAAAATGATCAATCGATTGCGATTTTCTTTTTCCACCATCGCATGTGTTATTATTAATGACGAGGTTATCACTCTCTTCTTGAGGGGAGAGTGGCGAGTAGTAATACTGTTTATAGGTATCTTCATCGAAGCTCAATGATTTCTGCAACAACACAGTTATCATGTTAATATCAATTTGTTAACACTTAATCATAAAAGTTAAAAAAGTTAAAGTTACAGCCTATTAAAGTCCACTGTTGAACATAGGCCTCCTCTCATTTCTGAGAGGGTTTTAGAGCAAGGAAATGTCCGCCGCGCTCCCTCAATGTGTGTTGGCGAACTTCACATGCCTTCGAAATTTTCTCAGACATGCAGGTTTCCTCACGATGTTTTCCTTCACCACCAAGCACGTGGTAATAAGCACTTAAAATTGCTATTAACAATTTAATTGGTGCTGGCGGGGATCGAACCCGGGTCGCGTACTGTGAAATTTACAGCTAGCGCTAACCATCTGAGTTACCACGGCTTAATCATATACATACACAATATTTAAATAAAATAATACACACACATGAAAATAACAGAAAAAAAGTAATTTAGTCAATAGAATAAACACTTACATCCATAGCCTTTGGTGTATTGAAGTAACACAAATGTACTATTGATAGATCCACTGTAGCCAAACGACCGTACACTAACTCGATGACTGCATTTGTTGGTCTTATATACCACCAGTACGTAAAAATTCTAATCTAAAGTATTTCCGTAATGAGTTGATAATTACTTTATGCGTCAACCAGTTTATCTCACATTTCCGTTGCCTATCTCAACATTTCTTCGTATTGTGTTTTGTTTGGTGATCAATGACTCAAGTACGATTTGTATAACACAAAAATGCAATTTAATATTTAGAAACATATCAGTTTATCTCACATTTCCGTTGCCTATCTCAACATTTCTTCGTATTGTGTTTTGTTTGGTGATCAATGACTCAAGTACGATTTGTATATCACAAAAATGCAATTTAATATGTAGAAATCACTATAATTGACCATTCCTATGTTATTCATTGAGTAGCTAGGTACTGTAATAATCTACTAATAGCAGTAATATCATGGATACACTAGATGTACAACAACATCTGAAAAAGATTCACCCCAGTCTAGAAAATAATGTTTATGCAGCTAATAGACTGCCTATGTATACCCACGTACCAACGTATATAATATGTAATTTGGATACAGATGATAAACCAGGGTCACATTGGGTAGCTTTATATATCGATACGAATGACGTCGGTCAATATTTTGATTCATATGGACGATCACCTGTACGATATCATCTAGAGTTTTTAAAAAGGAATTGTAAAAGATGGAACTGGAATGTTGATAGGATTCAGAATGAGTGGACTTCAGTTTGTGGCGAATATTGCTTAATGTATTTGCTATATAAGTTTCAAGGATGTTCAATACATAGTTTTACGAGTATATTTACAAGGAACACATTGTACAACGATATTTTAGTGGATGAGATGTTTCGCTCCTATTTTATAGATAATAATTAATAAGATTTTGTATTTTATAAATAAAAATTGTAACAAAATTATGTAATGTGTTTTATTGATGATTAGCGTTGTATAATTAGGAACAAAGAACTATAACACAATAGCACTGGTATAGTCGACGCACACGCTGCAATGAAGGTGATTAATGAACAATAGAACAATAGAAATAGGAACAACAATGGGACGCTAATGACGGTGGAGGCCCTTACCGGATATCAATTAGATATTAGCTAATTGATCTACACATCTCTGGAACCGTGCATTCTACACAAAAATGGACCGCGGATTCGTGATCAGAGCATGCCAAAACCTTTTTTTTTTTTTTTTTTTTTTTTAGGATCGGATGTCGACTAACGTCGTTGAACCACGTCTGACTCAGGTGGTCTAGAAGTGGTACAACTACACTACTGACGGGTATAGTGCGCGCGATTGAGGGAAGGTGGGAGGTCCCCTTAAAACTGGGCAGGATACATCATTTACTTTCTTTACGCGGGATTAAGCAAACTAGTTTATAACAATCCCATTGCCCAGGATTAATACCATATACGCTGCAGCTATATTATGGTTATACCACGAATTGGTCGGCCTGACCGAGAAAGAACCACGCTCTCACAATATCATCATTCATTATCATTACAAGTCCACTGCTGAACATAGGCCACCCCAAAGAATGCCACAATGCACGGTCCTGAGCCACCTACATCCATCGACTTTCTACATATCTTACCAGATCATCACTCCATCTCGTGTAAGGTCGCCCTAACGTTCACCTACCGGTACGAGGCTGCCACTTGAGAGCAATTTTTTCCCATTGGTTGTCGGTTCTTCGAGCTATATGGCCAGACCATTGCCATTTCAGCTTTCTAGTCACTCTGGTTCTACTGCGGATATTCTCCTTTCTAAGTTTAACATGAAACCTTTAGCATAGCCCTCTCCATAGCTCGCTGAGCGACCTTGAGCTTCCTCATCCGGCCAGCAGTGAAGGAACACGTCTCAGTTTCATATGCATCACTGGCAATACGCACTGATTGTACAGTCTCGTTTTCAAGTTTTAAAGTATACCTGACGAGAAGATGTGCCGTATTTTCCCGAACGCTGCACAGCTGAGTTGAGTCCGTCGGTCAAAGTTGGACTATTTGTCCCAGGTAAACATACTCGTCAAAAACTTCGAGTTTAATGCTCCCAACAACTACCGGTTGTGACATGGACGTTGTACATGATCTTTGTTTTATCCATGTTCCTCTTAAGACCTATCTGTTGGGAGGCACTATTGAGGTAATTGAGCATAGTGCTCAGGTCCTCCAGCGATTCTACCATAAGGACTATATCGTCAAAAAATCGAAGGTTAGTGATGTACTTGCCGTTGATGTTAATACCGTATCGATTCTAGTGCAGTAGCTTGAAAATATCTTCCAATACAAATGCCCTATAACAAATTTGCCTACCCTCAGCTCGCTGTTCTATCTTGTGCTTGCGT